GGACTTGCGAGTGAGAATTGGGATCTTGATCCTGTCACATACATCCTCGGTAAATTGATTGATGTATTGTGTAAATTCGGAAGTTGGATTCCAACTTTTTTTCTGAAGAACATTTTCAAGCCATATAATTTGATTCTTGTTCAAAGACCCTTTAACATGTTTATGTGTTTCGTTGTCTGATAAATTTATAATATTATTGAGATATATCGATTTCAAAAAATCTTTCCCAATCTCTTTATCTTTTTCTTGATGTGCAGTAAGAATTTTGAGTAATTTGTTACGAATGTCAACCTCATCCTAGAAAATTAAATATAATCATTATCAGTTATGTAAAAGCATTAAAAGACTGCAAATAAAATAAATACTCGTGTGAGCCTCCCAATTTCTTCTTCATCTTGATCTATATCAATCGGTTCGGTCTCGCTTTCTGAGTCATCGATGATTTCCACAGATTCAGTTGAATTTATAGTATTTCTGTCTCCAGCATTTTGACGCTTTCTTTTGGAAGCTACTTCATTTGAATCGTACTATAGTATTAAACCACAAAATAATTAGTTCAGCTCAACTTCTAGCTAAAAAAATATTCACTTGTACCTCTTCCTGATATCTTTTCCTAGGTGGGAAGGTTTTGTTATTGTTAACTCCACTGTTTATGGATCCTATGGTTCCACCTCCACTTACAGAAATGGAATTATTAACGTTATTAACGTTAATTAATGGTTTTCTATACTTTTCGCCTGATCTACGTGTTTGCTCCCAATATTTAGCAAGTTTACGGTCATTTCCCTAGGACGAAATATTTGGGGCATTTAGTAACTGGAATTAACTGGAATCCTTATAATTCACCAATTTTCATCCCATCCCATCGAGTCAGCCAGTAACCTTGAACATCAGGCAACCCAGTAAGCCACCTGTTGCCCCAATGGGACTAGTGCTAGTAATGATCAGGCAACCCAGTAAGCTACATGTGCCCTAGCACTAGTATTGTGACTCAGCCAGTAGCCTTGAATGACGAAGACCCAGTAAGCCTCCGCCACGTCACTTTTTCTTAAATTTCTTAATAAAAAATAAAAAATTACTTACGCTCCTATATTGATCAAGAAGCAATCGCGCTTTTTCACTCCGGGACCCTTTTTCATTATCGGAGATACTTTCAAGAGTCTTTATGTAAAAATCCATCTTTTCATCGAATGCTTCAATGTCAGAGCTGTTCAAAAAATCCAGGATACCCCACTTGGCTGAACTACTATCGAAATATTCGTCCGACATTAAGAAAGTAATATCCTAGTCCAGAGTAAGTTTATGGAAAAATAATAAAGATAAACAAAGTGAATAAGGATTTCACGAAAAAAAAAATCAATGCACGTTAATCAGGTAAATTTAGATGTGACTAGGGCGGCCGCATGTATGCGTTGGCCAATCAAAAATATGCGTGCGGTAATTTATTATATATGCCGAAAAAATGCGAAAAAATGTAAAAAAATGCAAAAAAAGTTAAAAAAATGCGAAAAAAATGCAAAAAAAAAAAAGAGAAATTTTTATTATATTTATTAATCCCGATACTGAAAACCAAATATACATTAATGCTATTTTAGACAAATTTGGAAGATGATTTTTTTTATCATTCCAGTATTTATCTAAATCTAATTCATTATTTTCTTCAAAATCTTCATTTAATTCACAATAAATTTCTCATTCAAATAAAATAATGTTACTAGAATTTTTAAATTCTTTGATTTCACTATATCTTTGAATATTATATCTTGCTTGACTAACTTGTATAAATTGAGGATTAA